AGGCAGGTAGAAGATGTGAGGGTTCCAGGCCTGGCAGGCCCTGTGTGGGCTGGGACAGGGCACGTCCCCCTTGGCAGAGGGGTACTATTCACGTGGCTCCGGGGGAAGGCTGTTACCAGGCAGGATTCAGATTCTGTGTTAGTAGATTTTACTGGCATTTCCCAGAAAACTCCATGATCAAGTATTTAGGAGAAACCTGTCAATGTTCTAATGGTGACAACCACTAATTCAAGATTTTAAGAGACCAAAACATACAGGCAAACAAAAACACAAAAAACCCACACCTGGGCAACTATTTTGCTATCTCTGACATACAAGATTCATTTTCGTATTGCCTACATTGCTAATTTTTCTTTTGAAAAATTTTCGTTTAAAAAATAAACAAATCTAAAAGATGTACCTTTAGGCAAATCCACTTTACAGAGAAGCCTGGAGAACAGTACGGTTAACCGTATGGCTGTCTCTCCTTCACCTGGACTCAAGCTCACTCACGCTGACACCTCTGGCTCTGCGTGGAGAGAAGACGCTGACACGCTATTCAATCATGGAACGCATGCCCCGAAGGAAAAAATCAGCAAGAGCCGGTGTGCCAAGCTGCAGCGAGTTAAGGCAGTGGGACAGAACGAATGCCGAAAAGCTTGGAGGGAAAGAGACATGCATCAGATGGACAGACAGGAGCAATGAAGACAGCAGAAGAGCCACACACACCATCTGGTGCCCGCATTTTGTTTTGCCTGCTGAACGCTTGCTGGGTTTTATTTTCTTTGACGATTTTGTGCTTGGTTTATTTTTAAGTCATCAGAAAAACAAACACATCACCGGGAGCCCAGGTAAATATTACACGAGATGGGACCAGCCCAGACAGACACCATAGCTCGTGATCTCGCAGCCAGATCTTAGCACTTGTATTTCACAGTTAGGGATTGTTTGGACAAGTGAGGTGAAATTTCATGTTGGTGTTATTAATTCTCGGAGAAAGTTTGCTAAGCAAATGAACAGGATAAACGGGGAAGTGGTGAATATTTGCTCTGGGGGCAGCAAAAGCAAATGAGCAGCTTTCAAATTCTTCCTAATTACATGGACGGGCTGAACTTCCGTCTAATTGGCATGTTCCTCAAAATCTGAGAACACGGTGGGTTTTTTTTTCCCCCTCCTAAATCATCTCATACTTTAAAAGTACTGGGAGAAAAATATCTGACTTTAACACAAAGGTGAGCATTTTCATAAACGGAAGATTCACGGGCTGCCAATTACCCTTATGCAAATTAAAAATTGTCAAACATTGGGGGTTTTGTCTTAAACAAAGAGGAAGCTAATTAATGACCACGCATGTTAACTGCTGCAGTTTCAATCAGAGGTGGCTCCCTCTTGTCTGAGCAGCGTGGATGAAAGCTGCCCACTTGCAGACGACGGTGGCACTTGCTGTCACATCCCAGACTGCACCATAAGCACCTTCAATTGCTTTTCATTGAGTCCACGAGACAGTGGAGACTTGCTCATCGTCTCCATTTCACTGACAGGTAAACCAAGGCTCTCAGAGGACACACAACACACCTGTGATTCGAATCTGGGGCTGGATGGCCTTGCCAAAGGCCTTGGCACACCACAGATCATGTCACAGAGACTTATCAGGATCTGTTCCACGTTAAAATCCATGGGTCAGGGAAGGTGTTGTGAAAGGCGGTAGCGCTCTGAGCACGCAGAACAAAGAAGGCTGCAGTTCTGGTTTAGGGAAACACCTGCTAGACATGGAAGGCGGTCGGGAATTTGGCAAGTAAACATCTTTCTGATAAGGTCAGGCTTAGCTTATCTGGTTGGCTAGAATAAACAATTTAGTAAAGCCTGCTTCACACTTTATCCAATAGATGTGGGCCTGACAATCATGTGCAGAAGATGGGATTCTTGGAAGGTTTCAACTAAAAGTAAACACTTTCTTAGAATAAAATGATGCCTCTTTGTAGCCAATCTGAACAGCAGCAAATTCCTCCGTGCGGCCACCAGAACATTCTAGGAGTGCAGCGACAACAACGTGACCAACTAGACCATTGGAAAGTGGTTTATCCAGAGTCGGCAGGGGCGCGGGGAAGGGGCAGAGGGGAGAGGTCTGCTATTTTCTTCCAAGGACCATCTGGATCTCTACAACATCATTCACAGGCTAAAAAGAAAAAAAATAGCTCGCTTTGGACTTATGAAAATTTCCAATTCCACCTACAGCTGCACTGGCAGGGCCAGAACAAATAATTTCCCAGACTTTACCCAGCCCGCCTGTGGGGCTGAATGCTTCCCACCCGTGCTACAGCAATGTCTTTCATGGTGTGCTTCACAGCTCCCAGGACAAGAGGAAGGCAAAGCTCAAACTCTCCTTATTTTAATTCTCAGACAGGAATTCTTGACTGTGCTGAGCAAAGCCCAGCCCGCAGAGGTCACACTGCTTGCAGCCTGAAGCAAGACAGCACAGCCAAACTATACCAGCAGCCCTCCTATTGTTTACTATCCCAATGTCCTGGTAAAACACACATTTAAGAACCTCCTTTGGGGTCCAGCACAGTGGCCTAGTGGCTTAAGTCCTTGCTTTGAACACGCCAGGATCCCATATGGACGCCGGTTTCTAATCCTAGTGGCACCGCTTCCCATGCAGCTCCCTGCTTGTGACCTGGGAAAGCAGTGGAGGATGGCCCAAAGCCTCAGGACCCTGCACCGTTGTGGGAGAGACCTGGAAGAAGCTCCTAGCTCCTGGTTAGGATTGGCTCAGCTCTGGCCATTGCGGTCACTTGGGGAGTGAATCAACAGTTGGAAGATCTTCCTCTCTGTCTCTCCTTCTTTCTCTATATACCAGACTTTGCAATAAAAATAAACAAACCTTTAAAAAAACAAAAAGCAAAAAACCTCTTCTGGAAACTACAAAAATTTGACTGGATCTCAACCTAGAAATGAATACCTTGGTAAATATGGTGCATGAAAATATGAGAAGTGGATATAAAGCCTTTCTGTTACAAGCTAAGCCCAAAGGTGGATTACCTAGAAAAGATGTACCATTCAGTAGCTGCCAGCTGAGCCCACTGCCTTTAGTTAAGAGACACTGTTTGTCCCTGGAGTGAACTATTAACACACGTACATCACAGTGATTCAGGGTTGGGAACATTGACAGACATTTCCCAGATAGGAATGAAATGAGCCCGTCCCTTCAAGGAAATAACAGTGTGTGGGTGAGAGTTTCCTTCCAATGACTGGAAAGACAAGGCATGACTCAGCCAACCAGCATTTGCCCAGGGTTTATGTTATAAAATCAACTGTGTGAACGATCCAATCACAGGGCAAGGGAGACCAATACGTTTTCATGGAACATGATACAGAGTTGGCTGGTAAGGTGTCAGGTATCAATATTGTGATGACTTTTTAACAAAATGTTGTCACTTGTTAAGTTTTTATGCAGTTATTAAAGAACAGTGTCTGCAAAGAGGAGGAAAGGCTATTTAAAATGTTCCTCCCTGTTCCAACGATCTATATATGTCACAGGTTTGTGTGCCCGTGAGGCCTTCATAGACATCAGCCCAAGCAGAAGACGATGCAGTTGGGACGCTAGCGCAGAAGTGAGAGTCTAGCTCCTTCTATGAAGCCACACATGAGAGATTTGAGAAAAACGGAAAACAGTGTTGCTCTTTTCACTAAAAAAAAAAAAGGGGGGGGGGGAATACAGCTGTTTTGCATATACAATGGTATGTTTGTTCGAATGGCATTGATTTATTCTTGTTATATTTTTAAAGTGAATTGATGGACGATTGATCTCTGCCATCACAAACATCACAGAACTCATGAGAGCGACAGGCTTTTGAAGCAGCGGCCTACAGGTATCCGGGGACTGCTGTTCCACAGCTTCAGGATTTGCACCTTTAACCCCCAGGGCCATCTGATGACAGTTCTCCCTCTGGAGGGCAAAGAGCACAGGGCAGGGCAGAAGTTTCTACTAGGAACTTTCTTCCACACCAGGCATTCAGATGTATCAAAGGCAGGAAGATTCTCCAGAACAAACTCCAGAGAAGCCAGGGGCCACAGAGTTTAAAAAAAAAAAAAAAAATCCCCCTGACTTTAAAACCTGAGCCTGACCAGCCAGTAATAGCCTACGTTAAGGTTCTTTCACACTGTAAATGTCACGATTCTAGCCAAGGATCCCTGAACAGTGGCCTTCAGGATGCTGGGCCATCGGGATATCTGGAGAAACACCCTACATGACCAATTGGCTGGAGATGACCGAGCAGATTCCCATGCAGATGAGGGAAGCGATCTCCAGTCACAGCCCTAACCCAGCCCAGTAGGCACGTACTGCCACACATCGGGATTTGCAGCCTCCAGGAAAACCCTTCCAGATCTCAAACGCCATCATTTTGCTCCAGAGACACACAGTGTCTGCGTTTTCCCCGCTTATTCTGCCGTGCTCTGCCTGTTAGACTTGGAAAAGTTAACTTCTCTGAGCCTCAGCTTGCCCCCTCTGTAAAACAGGCTCACGCTGGCCTCAAAGGGTTACGCTAGGAAGCTCAGGGAGGTGTTCCTGGCAGTGGAAAGTCTGTCCATTTGGGCTACAGTTAACAGCAAAACACAGAAACGGAGCATTCCCCAGCCTCCTCCACACTGCCCGTGCCTACTTCCTTCCAGCAGCAACGGCTGGCCTCCCCAGACCAACCTGGCCAGTCCACCCCAACTTCCAGATTCTACAGAACACACAGGATCATCTTCCTGGGTCCTCGACTTCTTCTTTCCCACCCACAGTTCTTTCCCGGAGTCCCTGGCCAGTCACCGGTTCCCTCCACGACCACAGCGGGACAGAACGTCTGCACCTCTGACCACGCCCCCCTCCAGTCTCTTCTCCCAACCCGGGTCACTACATTTCCCGTTCCCTCATATCGTGTCAGGAAGCGGTGGACCAGGAGTCCATGCCTTGAGAAAACTCAGCAACAATAGCAGAGTAACTGCCCGACCTCCTGGAGAAGCCCATGGACACTCACCGTCCATCCCTAGAGGCGGCGGTTCCGGGTGCCCGAACCGGAAGCGGCCTCTACACTGTTTGCAGTTCCCCTGGTTACTGCGGGGATCCTGACCAATAGAGACGGAGCACCGCTTGCTGAGCCCGCCTCCAAAGCGAGTGACGTCAAGGAGGCGCGCTGGAATTCCACCGATCCCCGGCTCCGACGCTGGTGCGCAGGCGCGCCTCTGGAGTCCGCCTGGCAGCGCGGTGCGCAGGCGCCGCTGGGGCAGCTCGCCGAAGCGGCCATGGACGCCTTGGAGTCGTTGTTAGACGAGGTGGCCCTGGAGGGGCTGGACGGCCTGTGTCTGCCCGCGCTGTGGAGCCGTCTGGAGACGCGCGTGCCACCATTCCCGCTGCCGTTGGAGCCCTGCACGCAGGAGTTTCTGTGGCAGGCCCTTGCCACGCACCCGGGAATCAGCTTCTATGAGGAGCCTCGGGAGCGACCCGACCTCCAGCTGCAGGATCGGTCAGCGACCAGGGCCTGCGGGCGGGCGGGCGGGCGCAGGGCCGCGGAGTGAGGGAGTTGGGGGATCGGAGGGAGAACGGAGCAAAATCCAGGGAGGACTGGGAGTCTGGGAGGGGAGCATTGGGGGAGCGTCTGATTGGGGGGTCTCGGCCCTGGCAGGGCCCAGGAGCTGGACATCACCTGCTGGTGCCCCGTTCTATCCAGCTGGGCGATGTTCTCCCGTCTCCATCCAATGCAACATAGAGTGGGAGCAGGAAGGCAGATCCCACGGAGCCTCCCGTATCAGACCAGCGGTCCACATGAAGCAGAGGTGCATAGCAGCCAGCGTGATACCTGAATCACACTGAATCTAGTAGCTCCATCCTTGCAGTGACAAGCGTTCGAGCCTCACCAGGATCCCTTGCAGTAGGTGCTGTTGTCTGCCCCTACCATACAGGGGGGTAAACTGAGGCACAAAGCGGTTAAGCACTGAGCATTGGTTTAGAACTGCAGAGTCTGCTTGCTTGCTATTATTCAAAAGGCAGAGAGACAGAAAATCATCCACCAGGCTCGTTTACTCCCCACAACGGCCAGCCTGATGGGCCAGGCTCAAGCCAGGAACCTGGCACTCCTTCTGGTTCTCCTACGTGAGTGGCAGGCATTGGAGTGTCTGAGCTGTCCCCTGCTGCCTCCCAGGATAGATGTGCAGGAAGCTGGGATTGGGAGCAGAGGCAGGACAGAAGCACTGTAATTTCCATGTGGAATGTAAGAGGGGCGAAGCAGCCGCCCCCAGGGTCTGTGCAGCCATGGTCTGCAGGCACGGTGTGAGGGTGGGGAATGTGCCCAGAGTCATGTCCAAGATGAGGCTGAAAAGTTGGGTTTACAGGGCCAGACACTAAGGCTCAATTTAATAATTGTCTGCTTGCAAATGCCGGCATCCTTATGGGCACTGGTTCGTGTCCCGGCTGCTCTACTTCCCAAGCAGCCCTACTTATGGCCTGGGAAAGCAGCAGAAAATGGCCCAAACCCTTGGGGTTCTGAACCCATGGGGGAGACATGAAGGAAACTCCTGACTTCGAATTGGCTTACTCCGGCCATTGTGGCCACTTGAGGAGTGAACCAGTGGGCTGGAAAATCTTTCCATATTTCCTTCTCCATAAAAGTGCCTTCCCAATAAAAATAAAATATCTTTTGAAAAAAAGAAGTTGGGTTTAGACAGCCAGTTGGCAAAAGGCATTGTGGACACATAACAGCAACTGTGAGAGGCTGGAAGAAGAGAGCGAGATGAAGTTTAGCTGAAGCATAGAACAGGACAGAATGAGGCATAAAGGTTGACCTATACCTGGTACTGTTCTCAGAATCTATTTTTTTTTTAAGATTTATTTATTTATTTATTTGAAAGGCAAGTTGACAAAGGGAGAGGGAGAAACAGATTTTCCATCTGCTGGTTCACTTTCCAAATGGCTACGATAGCTGGGGCTGGGCCATGCTGAAGCCAGGGGCTTCCTCTACCTCTCCCTTGTGGGTGGCAGGGCCTCAGTGTTTGGGCCATCTTCTGCTGCTTTCCCAGGCACAATAGCAGGGAGCTGGATGAGACGGAGCTGGCAACAGGAAGCCGCTTAACCCACTGCACCACAACACCAGTCTCTGTTCTAAGATTCTTACACATACTAATACAGCAACCTTCGCAAGTGGGTAATGTTGTCTTTGTTTTCGTGGAGAGAAAATCAAGACGCAAAGGGGCTAAGCAAGTTGCTCAAGATGATCCACCATTAAAAATAGAACCCAGATTTTGAATGCAGAAATCCTGGGTCCAGGACCCACTCTGCCCTTCACCACATTGCAATGTTGTTATGTTTTAATCCATTTATAGAGTTTTCCCTTTATCCAAATGACTGGAGGAAGCCACATAACAAGGGTCAGGCCAGGAGAGAGTTGAGAACTGTTGCAGACCAGTCGTGGGCCAGCTTGCCATATAGTGATTATAGGAAAGAGGTTGAGAAGATGAAATCAAGACATACCAGGCAGAGAGGTCCAGAGGATTGGTGACTGGTTGGCTGTGAACCCTGAGGAAAGAGGATTCAAAAAGGGTGTCCCCTTCCCCCAAAAAAGGGCACCCTCAGGTGTCAGCCATTGGGCATCCTGGGAGAAATTCACTTACCATTCTCTGAGGCAGAGAGAGCAAAAGTGCGGTCTGGAGGCCACATCTGGGGGAATGGGGAAGGTGCTGGACCATTCCCTGAGGCACACAGAATGGAGGTCCCTTTGGCTTGCCCGAGCACAGCTCTCTGAGTTTGTTACCATCTGGCCTCTTAGGAGGTAAAGCAGGTGAGAGGGAGGGCCTGAGCTAGGCTGCTGTAAGTTAGTCCATCATGGGTCATGAAGGCTGCTGACTGAGGTCATCCCTGGGGAGAGCATTCCAGCCGTCGTCCTCCTGGTGAGATTGTGCCAGACAGTGTGGCCCAGCCCAGCCCGCCTTGACCATGCACAGGACACTTGCCTCAGATGAAGACCCAGCACATCATCTAACCAGCCTGGTTTTACAGTAACTGTGCATATCTCATGTCAGTGATGGGGTGACTACTGAGGTGAAGAAACAGAGGAGTGTCGTTTGGCACCTCGGGGAGGTTGACAGATCACAATCCTGGCGAGTTGGGGACCGTGCTGTGATCGGAGGCCTTCAGTAGAGTCCGGGGGTGCATGCAGATCCAAGGCTGCATTCAGGATGAGGCATCTTCTACAGGAGGCAGAAAGCTGTGGCTCAGAGGAAGAAGACAGTTAGGCCAGATTGGTTTCTAGGAGGCAGGGGAGAAAGGCATGATTTGAGGGCATGGAAATCCCAGAGGGAGTGAGAAAGAAAAGACTCGGAAAGTGTATGTGGGCTCTGGCCTTAATGAGACCGGTGCAAGGTAGGAAGGAGATTTCAAAGAAAACTTGAAGCACACTGGAGATGGTGTTGACGAGGAGCCCGGGGACAGTGTTAGAGCATGGGGAACACTTGATTGCAGAAAGCAAAGGTGCTCCTAACTTGGGCTCTGATCTCCTGGAACGTGGGGTGTTCGATAGACAAGTAAAGACGTTTCGTTGGTGTGTAGGGAAGAGTAGAGGACGGGGGATTCTGAGGTGAGAATTATTAACCCGAGGGTGATAATTAACATGAGAGAAGCCGATAAGGATACTGGAGAGATGGAAAGATGATGTCTTAGAGAAGGGACACCTGGAATCCTCCAGTCCCCACTTGGTGGTCTTGGAGACTGGGGACCAGGTCTGGAGAAACCAACGGGCCATGGCTAGGACAGGTAATAAGGTAGTTTGGATCCCAGCACCCAGCTTGCGGGGAGATTTGAGGGGCCCTGGGAAGGTCTGAGTTCCTTCCGTAAGGTTGGCTGCTTGCTTATCAAGACCACTTGGATCTGTGAGGCAGAAAGACAGCACAGTGTTACCCTGTCTCATCACGGCAGGAGGTGGTCCAGGGCACACACGCTGCACATTCATCATTGCCGAAGCTCAGCTGGGCTTTGTCTTCTGTGTTCGTCCTCTTAGGTATGAAGAAATTGACTTGGAAACTGGAATCTTGGAGTCCCGGCGGGACCCGGTGCCACTGGAGGACGTCTACCCCATTCACATGATCCTGGAGAACAAGGATGGCATCCAGGGCTCGTGCCGCTACTTCAAGGAGAGGAAGAACATCACCAACGACATCAGGACCAAGGCTTTGCAGCCCCGCTGCACCATGGCGGAAGCCTTCGACAGGTAACGGGTCTGTCCCTGTCGGGAGTGTGGGGCCACCCAGTGTACTCCAGCCAGAGCACTTAGGGCTGGCCTGCAGTCCCAGTGCCTCTTGGTGGTCATCGCTCCTGCACTAAGCCAGCTCCCACCCCACTTGAGGCTACTGTAGCTCGGGGCTCCTGTCTTTCTCTTCCTTTTGTGTCTACGGTTGAGAGTGACAGGCAGGTGACATTTGGAAGTTGCCTTTTGTTTTCTTGTCCTAGCTGGGCCCAGGACTGCCCAGCCATTCCTATGTGAGTTTATCTCACAGGGTCAGCCCCTTGACGGTAGAGATCATTTATGTTTCTCTTAGTGTTCTAATCCCTTGCTCAGTGCTTGGTCCATATTTGACAGCCTGCGTGATGACCGCGAGGAGTCACCGAGTCAGCTAATTGCTGCTGATGCCCACGGTGATTACTGGAATTATAACAGTGCGGTCAGTAAGCCAGTCTGAGTAAGAAATCAAAGACCAGGAAACTCACTTCCATGCTTGCACACTTTCTCCCAGATGACCTGTAACAGTTTAACTTAGTGAGGCTGCTTTGAGGAAGAGTCCAGGTCCTGAGTTTGTCACCTTTAGGCATGAAGTGATCTGCTGGGAAAACAGGCTGTGCAGTCTTCCCCGACTTACAAAGACAACCGATTTTAGGCACAAACCACACGATAATACAGCTTCTCCTTTTTCTCTTTGTCTACTTGTGGTGGAAGTCAAGTCACCAGGTATGGTGACTTCCGGAGGAAGGAGAGCTGTCAGGCCAGGCGTCTAAACAGGGCTAGGAAGAAGGCAGATGTGAGGACTTG